TCCGCAGCTACGAGCTCAGCAGGCTCGGCAGGAGAGGGGGGGAAAAATAAAAGTTTTAGACAGTGGAAAACCCCAGCTAGCACAATCACCCTTGCATCACTTGGATTCTGCTTCTGCATTTTCAGAGAACTGAAAACTCTGACTGGGGACTCTGCGGGAAGCAGATTTACCCAAGGAAACCACAACTGGTACCTGAAACTTCAAGCAGCCCCCACTTCATCCTAGAAGTATTTCAAGCCATCTGATCTGGCCATCAGCTGCTCTTCGTTATCAGGAACATCGCTCAGCTGATCAGCGTAACACTGAAATCTGTTCCACATGACAAAGGCCATTATCAGCCCGAAATACCAAGTCCATTTCCTTTAAAACATTATTCTAAAAATCTGCCATTCTGCTGTGCTAAATTTAGCTCATCGGATTTTAACTTCCAGACTGCTCAGTGTGCAGGTCAGGTCTCTTGCCATCCTTCACGATTTCACCAGGAAGGATCCCTCCCATTGTCAGAATCCCAAGGATTTAAGGCTCTAGAAGCCAAAATCATGCCCTGAATCCCATCTACTGAAACCCTTGCAGCAACCTGCATCTCTGTTTGCCCAGAAAGATGTAAAATAAATATTTATTTTAAGCAAAGGGAGGGGAGGACGGTCTCGTGTCCAAGGGAACTCCACGTGGATCTGCCATAAACAAAGGAACAAAAGCAGGAAACCCAAACCATTAATCGTCTCTGGTTCAGTATTTCATGACTTCATGACTGTTTGATTCAAAGCCATGCCGAAAGGTAAATTGTCATCTTCATTCTGTGCTGCGCTATTGCTTATCAAATCTTCCAGCCCCACTTTCAATGCACTGCAGAGATTTCGCAGGCAGACCTCGGCTATACAAGAATAAAATACTGCTAAGAAGATTCTTGCAGTCCATCTTAGGGTGAGCTCCAGTTTGTATTGGCTTGCTCCTCTTCTAAAACCCCTTTACTTATAAAATCACACAATCTTGAACCCCATCTTCTGCATTTTTTACTATACTTTTTCCACTACATTTTAGAAGACGCAATTTAAGAGCTCCTAAAGAACTCCTTGCAGAGAAAACGTTGAGCACAGAAGAAAAAAAAAAAGCAAAGCTCTACAAGATCAAGAAGCTAATTCCAAGCGCCGTGCTTGGAACTTCAAATTGGAAAAAAAAATTCTTCCGGCAAACTGTTTAAGAAAAGAGCACCCAAGGGTATCGTTAATTAATGCGGTAATCCAGCAGGTTGGTCAGCAGCAGCATTATCTCAGGATAGAGAGGATTTTCAGCATGGATCATCACAGACACTTACGTTACGCACTGGAAGTTCATGGTCTGAAATTTGATTGCTCATCCAAGCTTCAGAGGAACAAGCCGGGAAACTGAGATCTGCCACCTGCCTTCCAAGCATTGCTTAACTTCACGAGGGCGCACGATAAGAGCACCTCCCGGTTCTTTTGAAGACTTATAATAAAATGCCATTTCTGTGGAGACTCAGTCATTTGGTGAAATTTCAATAAAATCGCTTCTGTTGATTGTAAATTGAGTAAGATGGTAACGAACACCCAGCTCAACGCGAGTTTATTTTGGATCCATGGTGAAAGAAGCAACAGAGCCTGTGAAATAATGGAAAAAACTAGAGGAGCATCAGACAACTTCTGCTGACCTGATACAGGTGGCTGTTCCCTGGTATTCCAAGAGAGAAATGGGACACAAATGTCTTTTGTGAGGACTGCTGAAGACAAGGAGATGCTGGTGCTCAGGTCCAAGGCGTGCTCCTGGACTTGGCAGGCACAGCAAGGTTCCCCCTACCTGCTCCATCACCCCAGAGGTCCCAAATCTCAGCCACACTCCAGCAAGCAGACAGCCACTGGTCCTGCTCCTCACACCCACAGGCTGAGGCTGTGAGCTGCTCGGCGATTCCAGCACCTAAATGCTCAAAGGGGAAGGTGCTCGGTGGGCATGAGGCAGAGGTGACAAAGATCCAGCCCCCTCTGCACTGTTTTGCTGTCCTGCATCGCCCGCTGTCCTCTCCTCGCTGTAGAGCACGCTGTGAAGTAGAAGTGAGCTTACTGCAAGCATTAAATAACTGAGGCCAGGCAAATAAACGTGCTGGCCACAAAGCAAGAAGTGCAGAGCCTCCTAGGTATGTGAAAAGCATTGAATTGTTTCAGAGATGAACCTTTTTTCTTCGAACTCTAGTAAAATAGCAGCCTTTCCATCCACAGATTAACAACAGAACGGCGAGAATGAGGATGAAACATCAACCAAGAGTTTCTCTCTCCACGGACAGACCACATAAACCCATAGACAGATAGATATATATACACACAGACATATTCACACACCTCCGAGCAAATTTTCAAAATCCAAACTTGTAAATAATGCCTCCGAGATCTAAATTAAACCATTTAAGTAGGCTTTTTTCTTCCCCCAATGTTTTCCTGGAAGCTCATCCTGCTTAGACATTTCCAGCTCGCATAGCCCACTCTCTTACCACCAGGGCACGTCGTTGGAGGGAGCCTTTCGCACAGCACCATGGAAGAGAAAAGAATTTTAAACGCACGATAATGCCCTAATGAAAAGAGAGCAGTGGAGCTGGGATCAGGCACAAACACAACACCCAAATCTAATTTGAGCACTTAAACTGATTTGATTCAAATTGCCAACAACCTCTAATATATTAAGTAGCTTTCTGACTTTCATGAAGCTCTGAACTGCATCAGGTAGCTCCTTAAAGACAGCAAATTTGTGCAGTAGCTGTTGACCAAATTCCCATTTATTTAAGAAAAGGACCCGTGACAGTCCTTTGCTAACTTGCAGCTCTCACAGGTTACGATCTACCCAAATCATCTAGGGAGAAAATTCCTTTTACTGCAATATTCTTTGGCCAAGGAGAGCGTGTAACCACAGAGTCCCTAATAACATTCAATCAGCAGCCCCAAACTGCCTCCATTAAATTAATAAAGTGGTAGTTTCAAAGATACACCCTAATCTTTATTTTTTTTTCCCCCCCACTGCCACGTTCCATTGCTAAGCACCGCTTCGCGTTTTCCATCTCCCACCTCAAAAAAAAGCAAAAAAAGGATTACCATGAAAGGAGAGAAGCAGCGCCCTTACACACAAAACCCTGGTTTTCTGGAAACATTTGGTGTCTAATTATATACAACACAGAGTCTGTTCGTTTTCGCTGCTAGGATCGTACACCAAATCGCCCAGCAGCGCGCCTACCGACACCGCTAGCATCCAGCCACCTTCCCAGAAGGTAGCACCTTGAGAGTTCATCTAATCCTCTCCAATTTTTGGCCAAGAAACCTGCGTAGAACAGCGGTCACCTCTTAACCTGTGCCCTCCCTCCCTCTGCAGCCAGCCGAAACGATTCCCTTGAAGGCATCGAGTGCTGAGCAAAGCACCTGGTGCTGCACCTCCCTCGAGCAGGAGCCTGGCACCAGGCAGCAGGGCAGCAGCAGAGGACAGGAGCACGCCAGGCGTGCCCTACATTTTCTGCCGCAGCTCTGTGGAAAGCCACGCTCTCGGGCTCTGCCTCGAAAGAATTCAGGTGGCTGGCTCCTCGCCTCGAAAAATAGGCCGCCCGGAAAGGCTCGCACCTCGCTCCTCTGCCTGCCCACCCTTAAGCCGTGCAAAAATGGGCGTTTTCTTCATTTTCCTAGAAGTACAAATTATCACCAAGACCACGTGCAGGTGCATTTATGCGTGGCTTCCTTTTTGAGCCAGAACAGCAGGCATCCTGAGGAAAAACACACAAACACCTCCATGTGAGACCAGCGCTGCACCGCACGGCGTCTCCCCTCCTGCGTTTTGGGTGAAACAAGAAGGAAAATGGTGCACGTTTCTTACCACAGTATAAGTACAAAGACTTGCCTGATGTCAGGTATGAGCAGCCTGTAACACAGAGCACAGCATCACAACTGCAGTGTGCACCATAAACCAGCCAAGGCCACAAACACAGTCACCATCAACACCCAGATAAAGAGCAGGGCGATTAACGTGCCCACTTTAATTGCATTTCACCATCAGGTAGATAAGCATGTGGGATATACCACGCTTGGAAATAAATTTTCACCTGCCCTCACGCTTCCCATCCATCCCTACGGGTCGAAAACCAATCTTTTTGAAGCCAAGCTCTGGAGAAACACACCAAAAAAGCTGCGGTGCCATTGCTGACGGGACAGTAAGTCCGAGGCAGGGGAGAGCTGTGACCGCAGAGCTCTGAACGTTGCTCAAGAACACTCGCTGGCACTTTTCTTAGAGCTCAAAGTCTAAAAAGATGACTAGAAACTTCAGCTCACCGGTAAACAAACAAACAGCGGAACAAAACAGCAGGAGAGAAAAACATCCGGTATATTTTCAGCCAAAATTTTACGCTGGAATTGGGGTTGAAAGAGGAATAAGCAGCTTTATCGAGGAAGACGAGCAGTTAGCAGTGAAAATAAACCAATTCGTTTGTACTCAGCAGCCCCACTTGTGCTACCCAAAAAAGCCTTTGCCTCTATTCACATCTGGTCCCCTTAAACGTCCAAATGTCCTCAAGTGCTCAAGGAAGGTAACAGCAAGCGGCTATTCTGAAGTGCACCCTTCTCAACCAGAAGAAAACACTTATCTAGAATAAAATACTAGGAGAAAATTAACCAGAAGAAAATACTTCTCATGACACTGGCTAAAACCCTTGAAAAGGAAGCTCTCAGCTTCCAGAGCCTGCCCGGCCAGGCACAGATCCCTTCCAAACCCTCTTCCCAATTAGCTGCAAACAGATACAAACAAAACTCCAAATAAAAAACCAGCAGAATCAACTCGGAAATCCCTCAAAGTCTCTCTCATCTCATCCACGCGGCTCCCCTTCCCCCGAGCGTCACTGGAGGGGGTGCCTGGTGCTTTCCACGAGGAGCTGTCTCAGAAGCAAGCTCTACCCAGGACAATCAGCCTTTTTTTTTTTTTCATTTCCTTTTTTTTTTTCTCTCCCCGAAGCACCAGCCCTGCTGAGAAGTCACCGAACACACGCGGCCACGCGCTGCCTCTCGCTGCCACAGCTGCCAAAACCGAAGCAGGTAACCACTTCACGGACACTTCACCATCTTTACGGACAATTCAGCTGGAAATAAAAGCTTACAGAGCAGGTAGGGCACATTTCCAACATGCTTCCAGACAGATCTCCCACTCCTCGCCCTGTGGGACAGACGCCAGCCACACAGCCCACCTCAGAGCCCCGTCAGCACACCCCTCCTCTCAGTCCCGCAGGCGGCCCAGCAGCTCCCAGCCACCACCCCCGGCCCTCCCCAGGCACCAGCACCACTCCCACCAGCCCCAAAAGCCGCTCGTGCACCCCTCCTCTCCCTCTCCAAACCAGATCCTACCCCCCAGCTGCACCCCACAGCTTCCCCTACCTCTGTCCCTACCCAGAAACCGGCCCCACACTCGCTTCTTCCACCTGCCTCTGACCACAGCCGTCTCCATACAAATCCCAAACCCTCTACAATCGCAGCCCCCACACCTTCCCCAACCCCTTCTCACTTTTCAGAGCTCCTAAAACCCCATTACTCCCCCTGTGCGCTACCATCACCCAGTTTTCCCCCCTAACACGCTCAGCCCTACACCCAGATGCGCCCCTACACGCAGCCCTACACCCACAGCCCCCTGCCCCTACACAGCCCCAGCCCTTCTGCCTCACCGCTGATGGTGAAGGTCCCCCTGCAGACCTTTAACACCCCAAATCCTCCTCCCTTACTCCTGCCCCTCCCTGCAGGATCAGCACCCCATCCTCTCACCCTACTGCTCCCACACCCCGCACCCCCTGGATCCATCCCCACCCTCCTGAGACCCCATTGCTGGGCAGAGCCAGCGGGGGGGGGCACCCAACCCCTGCTGCCCCTAGGCCTTACACCCAAATCCCAAGTGGCCCTGGCCCCTTTCCTTCTCCTCCTCCCCCCAACCCTGCCACACCCCAGTAGCCAGGGGCCACCCCATAGACCCCCCACCGGGGCATCCCATAGGGGGCCACCCCATAGATGATGCTGCCTGTGGGGCTACCCCATAAGGGGCCACCCCACCGATCACCCCCCCCACAGCCCCCCATTGGGGTCATCCCATAGGGGGCCACCCCACAGACCGTCTCCGGGGCTCATCCCTTAAGGGATCCCCCAACAGAGACCACCCCAGGACCATCTCATCGGGGGCCACCCCACAGACCTCACCCAGGGGGCTACCCCATAGGAGACCACCCCACAAACAACGTCTCCCCTTGTGGGGACCACGCCTTATGGGGCTGCCCCACAAACCCTTCCCGGGGTCATCCCACCAGGGACCACCCCAGAGGCGACCCCCACTAACGGGGGCCCCCCTTAGGGGGACCCCCAACAGACCCCCCTCAGGGCTCATCCCTGATGGGGCCGCCCCACAAACGACCCCCTCCACGGGAACCACTCCAGAGGGGACCACCCCACAGCCGACCCCCCCACGGGGACCACCCCATAAAGGGGCCACCCCACACCCCCCCTAGATCCACCCCATAGGGGGGCCACCCTATACTCCCCCTCACCCCACCACACCCCCCCTCACCCCACCACACTCCTATTACCCTACGAAACCCCCCAAAACCCCCCCAACCCCCCAAAACCCCTCTCACAACCCCTCCACACCCCCCAACCCTACCACAGCCCCCAGCCTCGCTCCCCTCCCTCTCCCTCAGCTCCCCCCGGACCCCCTCAAGGCCACAGGTTCCCGGTGCCCCCCCCCAATTCCCGGTGCCCCCCCCAACCCCAAAAATTCCCGGTACTGACCTGAAGCGGCCCCCGCAGTGCTGGCACTGGTCTCCCACCCAGCCGGGCTGACACTCGCACTGCCCGCTGGCCGGCTGGCAGCGCCCACCGTTGGCGCAGGGTTTGTCGCATTCCTTCCCTAAAGCCGCCGCCAAAACCGCCGCTTCTTCAGAAGCTCCGGCGGCACCGGCTGCACCGAAAAAGGGCCCGGCCGGTCCTAAAAGAACCCAAAACAAAAAAAAAGGAGGTAACAACCTCCACCCGGCCCGGGAAACCGGGTGAAGAAACGCTGAAAGCTCCCGAGCCATCTGCCGAACGCCGGCCGGGACGACGCGGCCCATCCGCCGCGGGGGCCTCCCGGGACGGTGGCCGCTGAGGGGGCTTCCGCCGCCGCCGCCGCCGCTACGGTGGCCGGGAGGGGGCGGGAGGAGGGAGGGGAGGGAGGGGAACGGGGCAGGGGGGTGGGGAAATGGGGGGGGGGGGGAGGCGGTGCCGCCGTTGCCGCCGCCCGGCCGCCGCCGGTGACGTCACTCGTTGGCGCGGGGAGCGTGAGGGGGTGCCCCCCCCACCCCTCCGCCATCTTGTGCCCCCCACCACCACCACCACCCCAGCACCCCGCCATGTTGTTCCCAGGCGGTTGGTGCTTGGAATGGTGGAGTGAGGGGTGGGGGAGCCCTCACGGATCGACCCCGGTGTTGCCCGCTGAACTGTGGCCCCAAGCACCACGTCCCCAAGCACCACATCCCCCAAGCACCATGTCCCCAAGCACCACATCCCCAAGCACCTTCCCTCGAACACCCCCAGGGATGGGGACGCCACCACCTCCCTGTCACCCCGTCCCCACCCCTGATCGCTCTTTCTGACAGAAATGTCTCCTCGTTTCCCACCCACACCTCCCCTAACACAACTTGAGGCCATTCCCTCTTCTCCCACCATTACCAGAGCTCCCCACAGCTCCCTTCAGGCAGTAGCAGAGAGCAATGGGGTTTGCCCTGAGCCTCCTCCAGCCCAAAACCCCGCAGTTCCCTCAGCCACCCCTCACAGGACTGGTGTCCCAGACCATTCCCCAGCCTCATATCATGGCCACGCTCCAGCACCTCAATGTCCTTCTTAGACTGAGGGGCCCAAAACTGAACCCAACGCTCAAGGTGCGGCTTCAGCGGAGCAGAATACAAGGAGACAGAGAGGTTTCCACCATGGGCTCAGAGGCTTCAAGGTTGAAATCAGATCAAAAAAAAATAATAATAATAAACGGTTTTCATTTATTTTTGGTTGGTTGGTTGGCTTTTAAACAAGCACTTGTGCTGCATGTGGTACAGGGTGTCCCAGCTGTGGTGAGGGGAGCAGGGTGCCATCAGCCAGGCTTTGTGATCCCCCCTAGGACACAGGGCTGGTGCAGGAGCACCCAAGGGAGCTGTGCCTTGTGCTCGGGTTGTGCCCTGAGCTCATCCAAGTGGCAGCTCAATTTGTGCCGACATCCACCATCGTTTGGGCTCGCATGAGCACAAGGAGCAGGCTGCTGTCCAGGGGCACTAAACCGAGCTTGGAAACATGGGGTGTTTGTCATTGCATGGCAGTGAGGGCTTCATGGTTAAAATTGGGAAGATTCATCCATTTTACCTAATTGGGTAGGTTAGAAAATGTATTCTTCAGAAAGGGATACCTTCCTACCCTGCAAAACGAGCTAATGCTTTGCAAGGATTTCTAAACCTTAATTCCTAACAGCGAAGAAGTAATGCAGTTATATCTCTAGCCTTCTCCTGAGCTCCTGGGCAAAGCATCAGGATGTCTTCCGAACACACCAGCAAGGATGCCATATGCAGCAGGAAGGGTGGAGCAGAAATGTGGGTGCTGTTTGAAGTTATCGTGCCTTTCGTTTTCAGCTGGGTGAAGTAGTGAGAAAATTGAAGATGTTGGCGCTCTTGGGTAAGCCTTGCCCTTTGTGTATCTCCATTAATCTGGCTGTATTTGGAGTTACTTGGGTAGTTAATTTAATACCTTGTTTCAAATGTAGGAAGATGTCAACAGTTGAGAAGTATTTTGTTGTTGTTGTTGTTTAATGAAAGGCGAAAAATGCATATTATTCATATTTTTCCCTTGAAAGGAGGCAACCAGGATTTAGGTATACTAATGCAATGATAAACAATGACCGAGATAGAAATAGCCTGACTCACTGTATTTATTGGTTCATTTTTATTTATAAATAAAAACAGCAGTTACCTGAGCTGAAGGAGGTCTGCGTAATAAACAGATATAGGTTTGAGTGCATAGGAAAGAAAATGGTTTGAAGACCAATATGTGTACATCTGCTTTCAGTCACACATCTTTCTAACAAAACTCATTTTTCTTATAGTTTGACTTTTCTGCTTGAGGCCCGGGAAGGAGAATGAAATCATGGCTTCAGTTTAAAAATGCTGGGCTGCTCTGGTAGCCAAAGGAGGAAGAAAAAAATGTCAGAGATGAGAGATTACGAAACCTTCTGGACCATATGGAGATGGTATTTCTATCTGCATGTGTTTTCCTGGGCCCCAGACAACTGCCAGCACGCCCAGGGAGGATTCGGATACCATCCACTGGCCTGCCACTGTCCAAGGCATTGCCACCAAAAGCCAGTCTGGCTCCAAGGCTCACTGAGTTTGGGATGCAGCCAGCACATGGTACTGCTCTCTGGATTGTCCTCTGTTGCTGCCAGCATGACTTGCTCCCACCAGCTCAAGTCAAAGGGTTTCCACCTGTGGAATTTCTCTGGGACAGCTTCTTTATCGTGTGTATCGCTTAGATATCACCTGCTCTTGCCTAGGGTTGGCATCTGCTGTCAAATATCACCTCCGCCCTCTGCCTGGGTCTGTTTGTATTCACCTGCAGCTGTCAGAGGGAACAATACCTGTGTTTTCACAATTCCTGCTTGCCTCTTTCTTGCCAAACATAGGTATTTGTTGCACAAGAGAATGAAAGTAAAAAGGTTGATTGACATAGTGGGAATAAACTTGGAGAAACTGCTCGCATCCTCCAGTTAAATCAAACTTGGAGAAGGGCTTGTGTGCTCAACAACTTTTTTTTTTCTTTTTCCACCTAAATTTGTTGGTCCAACACAAGATATCATCTCTCCGTATACCTTGTCCTACCCTTTTTTGTATAGTAAGTAGTTCTTTAAAATTGGTAATCAAGGGAAAACTTTGCTACAAAAAAAATGAAATAATCAAATCTGTGCAGGAGTGGGTTAGTTTTAATCAAGCAAACTTCATCTGTCTCAAAGGAAGGGTTAAGAAAGATCAGCTCGGCTGCATAAGATCATCCAGCGAAGGAGAGTGGGGAGAGAATCGCATTGTGGCAAGGTGATAGTCCAGCTAATGCAGCATTCATCAGCTGCCAGTGGCCAATCTCAAATGCTTCAGAGAAGACTAACATCCGTGAGTGTTGCACAATAGAAGAAATCCTTTCCTGACCTTGCGAGGGATCACACTGTGCCCTGTTGCTATCTGGAATAAAACATTAACCATGGGAGGACATTATTGTTAAATTAAGCTCAGTCTCACCAATTTTAACGCGCAAAGAATGCTCGTAAATTCTTTCTCGTTTATTTGTTTGTTTTTGTTTCTGCTATCAAGCAACTTTCCAACATGCGAATATGGTTTGGAAGGGGAGGAGTTAGGTTAGCTCAGAAGTCAGGCTAGGCTATTTTTGTTTTGGAAAGCTGAAATGCTTCATAATAGACATACTAGAATGATAAAACACCCTTTCCTGGCAACAGGCACGGCAGGACAACGGTGTTTTTGCAAACCACACATAGTAAGAGTATTGCACTGAGGGATGGAAGAGTCCTTGGGGAAAAAAAAGAAAAAAAAAAGTCATCAGAACAGCACACGACTACATGCAGCACTTGAAAACAACAGCTAATTAATAAGCGAGCGTTTCCTTGGACGTGGATTTTAGACGAGCCTGCAGTGAGCAAGCATCACCGGCACTGAATTATCCTTGGAGCTGCCCTCGCCTCTTTTTCACTCTTGCTGCCAGAATTTTATGACCCTGTATGTTGTCGCTGTGCTGAAGTTAAACCCATATTTACTCAGCGCATATTTGCTCAGTATATAAGTCGAGTCGCTCCCTTGCTCGCATGCCCAATGACAGGATAGCCGGAGACGCTAATTAATGAATTGGCCTCCGAGGTGAAATTACGTCCTCGTTAGGAAGACTCCCATAGATATTAATAAGGTCAGACCATCATTGCTGACGGCTGAGTCAGGGCTGAGCTGGGTATCGTGGAAGTGTAAACAGCAGAACTGCCCTGCCAGGCTGCTGGCTCGCTCTGGTTATCTCTGCCACTCAAATGGGCAGAGTCACCCTAATTCCTGGGGTCAAAAGCCACATGGAGCCTAACGCCGTGATATAAATGCGTCTTGCCGCCTGGTGAGATGAGCTTGTTGCACAGGAGCCCTGCTGAGATGCTGACCTCCAGAAATAACGCCCTTCCCAAGGGCCTGCAACCAGCTATTTCCAATTAGCTCACAACCCAGCATCACCAGTTTTTCTGTTCCTCACCCAACCCGATGTTCCCACCCGTTGCAACCTCTGCCCATGTTCCTGAATCCTCAGCATCTTGCAGCCCTCTCCTTGCTCTTGGTGCCCTTCCAGACACCCTGCTGGGACCCAGATGACACAGGGCTCCAGCAGCGTGTCCTTGCTGCCCATCCGAAACATCCTCCTTGGTCTGCAAAGAACAGGAGGAAGGAAAAGGATTTCCTGCCGTCCATCACCGAGGCCATTCCATGCACCCCACCAGAAATTCCTCACCCTCCCAGGCTGAAGAAAATTCAAGAAAGAAATTCCTGCTGGGGCAAAAAGCATCTCGTGCCTAGCACTAAAGCCCTTCTCCTCAAATGCAACTTCAGGCTGAATAGCAGAGACGACTCGAAACAAAAACCAATTTTCCCCAAGGCTTCCCCTCCCTTGGTACTTCATCTCTGCAGCTTGGGGAAAGTCAGAGCCCGAGCAACATCAGGCCCAAAGCAAGATACATTTATTCACTGGAAGTACTCCACTGTTGTCTGGGGAGGTGTGTGGGCCAGTCGTGCACTCAACAGCTGCCACGTGATTTTCCTTCAAAACACTGTCTGGGTCATTTGAAGGGCTTGTTTGATCTTTTTTTTTTTTTTTTTCTCCAGAATTCAGACTCCCGGCAAACAACTCACGCTTGTTTTCTTTGGGTTTCTCTGATAATGTCTCAGACCTCACGCTGGCACCGCTCCTCCTTCCCGCATGCAAATCAGGAGCTTTCCCAGCTGCTACAAGCGTACCCATGGTAAGAGCGAGCACAGAAACCCAGGATTTTCTACCCACCCACCTGGAAATCCCGTGGTGAGCACGTCTGACAGCATGCATCCACTTATTACAGCACATGCAGGCACCCCGGAGATGGCTAGAGGTCTAGTTTGACCTCTCCTTTTCCTTCATTTAGATGTGAGCATAATGACCAAAGGTCCTTAGACAGTGTAATTAATAAGGAATTAAATATAGCAAATGGAGTGCTGCGGGGGACAAAGGTCTGATAGGCACAGTGGTGGCGAGGAGCTGAAAAATACCTGCATGTGCACAGTTGCTTCCGATGTTTTATCTTTTAGGGTAAGGGGAAACTGGTAATAAAACTCCATTGCAACTGCAGAAACTGGGACAGAAAATGAAAGACTCTTACAAAGCTGCTGTGGGAATTGTGGCCAGGAAGGCCATAACTACCTCCCACGGACCTCGGTTCCGCTCCCCTGCCTTTGTGCACAGCCCTGCGAGAGCTTCAGTGATCACAAAAAAAGTGAGGACCTCGGTTTTATGTCTCATTCAAAAGAACTGGTATTTCGTACTGTACAATTCTGCAGCACCGCACGGCCGCTGGATCGATCCCTGGACGGCAGGAAGCACGGCGGTGGCCGAGTTGCTTTCGGTATATCTGTCCCGCCTCTGGTTTTCATGGAGGTTTTCTATTCAAACACTAGTCAAGGCTGCTTTCTTTATGAGACCAAAGTTTAGAAAGCTTTACCGGGAGTGGCCCAGGTGGCATTCGGCTGCCTTGAGCTGCCTCGGATCAAAAGTGCTCCAGTTTCCAAGCTGTGTCTTGAAAGAGCTTTATGGGAAGGTTTGACCCATATCTCTCCCCCCACGTTAGCTGGAAGATGTGCAGGTCTGATGAACAGCATCCAATCGCCTCAGATTGGGTGAAAACAGTGTGTGTTTGGGAAAAAGTGGATGTGCACGGGCCTGGGACAAAGGTTGGGCCAGGCCTTGGGAAGTGTGGATCCCAACCCAGAACCATGACCTCTATGAAGCCACTCCTCTGAAATCCTGGCATATTCGGAGATGACCTTGAATTTCAAAGTGAAAATGAGAGTATTGTGTGAAGAGTTAAAGTTGGAATAAAATTAAAACCAAATTAAATTAGAAAGAAAGTAACTTGCACTTCTTGGGAACAGAAAAATCACCTCAGGATGCCACCCTGGCAGCGGTGCTTGGAAGACTTAAAGCAGGAGGGTGGATTGACCAACTGCACTTTCAAACTCTGCTGTGTATAAAAAGAAAGGCTCTGTCTGCAGGCAGCCCTTCTGCCTGGCGTAGTCGTCCCATCCAGCCGGCTCTTTGCAAGGAGTGTGTTGAATACACCAGCCCTTTTTTTTTTTTTCTTTTTTTTGCAAGAACAGCGCAAAATCCCGAGTGTGGTAAGTGACTGAAAGACCATTGAGCAACAATAGCGAGTCAGACGCAGTCTGGGGAAAGCCGAGATGCTGTGAAAACAGCTCTGTCTGCCCTCCTTGCAAAAGGGAGCCCAGCGAAAGAGGATGGAGAGGATCGGGGCAGGCATTCAGAAGCCCCCAGGACAATGCTGAGGGAAGAGGATGAAAAGAGAGGGGCTGTGGTGATTACGTGGGGCATTCTGGGCAGGAACAAAGGGAGGCAAGGCGGTTTTGTGCGATGGAAATAAACAAACTAAAAAAAAAAAAAAAAAAAAACAAACAAAACCCTGCCCGGCCCAGCAGTGCTGCCTGAGGAGCAGGGGGAGGCTCCGGGCTGGGCCTGTGGCCTCTGGGCCTGGCCCTGGGCTCCGCTGAACAGAGCCTGGCTCTGGCATCCCAACATCTCCCTGTGGGGCTTGTCGGGCATGGATGGGATCCCAAACCCTCCTCAGATGGGATCCCAAACCCTCCTCGTCCCCAAGACGAGCAGCCCCAGCTCTCTCGACCTCTCCTCGCAGCAGAGGTGCCCCAGGCCCTGCTCAAGGGCCCGATGTTGGGCTCTTGTCACTATGTCCAAGTGTCTGCACTGAGGAGCCTAAAACTGGGCACAGGGCTCCAGGTGTGGCCTCAGCAGCTGTGACGTGCAGCCCAGCTGCCTCTGACTCATGCTCTGGCCATGGGAACACCTTCCTTCCCTAATCAGCCCCAGGCACCACCTGGGGACAGGGGTGTCCCCACACTGACAGCCCCCAGGGGACCGCAGGGAGGTCGGGCTCCAAGTCCCAGTTCTCCCTTTTCCTCCCTCCAGCTTGCCACGGGGCTGACCCTGACTCTTGGGAAGGACACCTGGGCGTTCTTCACCCTTTGGGAGAAGGTGTTCATCTCATTTTCTCAGCTGCTTGAGGTCTTCACCCTCTTTTCCCCAAGGAAGCAGCAGTGGAAGGAGGCACCAGCCCTCCACAAGCTCCCCCTTGATGTGGCTCTGTAGGAAAACACCCTGCTGAAAGGCAGCTGGTGCAAGCCCTCTCCCCAGCCAGCTCCTCAATCTTCCCGAAAAAAACACCCCAAGCTCTTGCCATCCATGGCACACTTGTCTCAAAGCCTTCATATCTTTTTTTTTTATAATACCAACGGCTTAGGGGTAATGCTCCTGAATTTGCTCTCTGCCATCCTGCAGCTTCTAGCTCCCGTCTTTGCCCAGGTGGCTGCTGAGCAGCAGCAGTTTCACACCAGGCTGACCCCCCAGCTCCGGCTGAGCTGCTTCCTTTTCATCATCCAAGCAAAAAGGAACCAGATCTAACCGGGGCTAGGCTGCTGCTTTCCCTGGGTGAAATTATGCCGGTTTAAACCAACTTAATTATAGGCTGGGGGCAGTGTTTGCAGAAGGGACGTAAGCCCTGTTGTTCAACCACCTTGGGCTCATTTGGATGCAAAGGTGCTCTGGGATTTGGAGCTTAGTGTGTGCACACGTTTTATTAATTTACACTTTACCCCAACTTTTACAGGCGTGATTAAGAGCGTAAATGAGCCGGTTGACTTCCGTGGGAGTGCCTGGACGTGTGGTTGAACTTGTGCCCACAGCTTGACAAGAGTGAAACTTCCACATGGGCTTGCCCGTGCCCTGGTGAAACAGCACACAAGGAACTCGGGTCCAGATTGCATCAACTCCTTCTGCTTCCTCCTATCGTGGCAGGCCAAACCAGTACGCAGCTACTGATTTTAAACCCAGGTTTGGAACCAGTTCTCCAAACGCCTCTTGCACCCGGGTGCAAAGATAGTTGTGCAAAGCATAATTGGTGTAATAAAGCCTGGGATAATAACAGCATGGGAGCAGGTGTTTCATTAGAAGCGGCATGAACATCACTGGAGAGTAGGAAATGACTAAAAGTTACAGGGGAGGAAGCACAATTATGTGCAGAGCACACAGGGTGTACGGGGATGTGTTTGTTTTACGCGTGGAGCAAACAGAAATGGGGAATCGCAGAAAAATTGAGGTTGGAAGGCATCACCCGGTCCAACCCTGCCCCCTTCCTCCCAGCAGCTCAGAGCACCTTGGAGCAACGTTCAGGGCTTGAAAATAAATGGCCAGTCACCACCTCTGACCACTAAACCAAGATTAATAGTTTCATGCCACTTAACTCCAGCACAGCCGTGGATACCTAAATATTACAGGGCTTAACTAAGGATTAAACCAATTTTATGAGTGAAAGAAACTTGGAAGGAAGAACACTCGCTCCTCACTTGTTTCAGGCAGCGTAACTCCCTCATGGGTTTGGGGAGGCATGGGTAGGAGGAATAAATTGGGGACAGACCCATGACAGTTTTCACTGAGGGGGGATGGTCCTTGCAAAATTTGGGGTGAAAAGGTAGAGGAGTTGAGTGAGAAAAGAAAGGGAAGGTGAGAAGAAAAGGGAACGGATGCGACCCCGGTGCTCTGTTCTGTGTGGGATTTATGGGCTCCAGTTCCTGGAGTTGGAGGCAAGGAGAGACTGTGGGATCATCGAGGCTGGCCACGTGCCTCTGTCCCAATGCCCCTGCCCCCCCTGTAGCCCCTGAGGGTCTCGCATCCCCGTGCCCTGGAGCTGCTGGAAAAGCTCAGCGCCATGGCACAGTTTGGGGGGATTTCCACTGCGACTGGAGCCCTGTGCAGCTGTGCAAGGAAGCAGAACGTTTGGCTCAAGAATATTGCTCTATAGTCCCTTGGGTTTCTTGGGAGGAAACAGTGCTTCATTACGATCCGAAAAGGTTGAGGGGGTGGTTTTTTTTTTCTTTTCTTTCAGTTTAATGTTGTTAAAATGGTTAATATTATTAAATCTGTTGTGATTTTTACAAGAAATATATTTCTGCTTTTCTTCTGCTCCTTTCAGCAGCACTATTGTAAGCGGCCAGTCTTAAGCAAAGGCAACAGAGGAGGAAAAGTGGAAGGGGCAGGGGAATGGGAGAATCCCAGCCCCGTTCAGCACGTCGAAGAACCGCTTTCCCCTGACATACATCTGGGTGTTCGAGGCCTTTGGGAGGTGTGAGACTCCCAATAAGATGGAAAAGGTATTTTGGAAGGAGTGGAACTGCCTCGTGCCACGGCTCTGGGCTGTTTGGTGACAGACTCTGCTCCGTGAGCATACGCGGGCGGCTGCTGCTGCCGCGGTGCTCGAGAATGTGACTGGGAAACAGCGGGCTCTGCAGCAACAAGATGCTCCCAAGAGGGGTCTTTAGAGCAGCGTTGTGTGTTTTAGAAACAACGTTGGCTGGAAGCTTTATCTGGGGATCTGTGAGTCAGCTTATGCTTGGTGCTGGGAGATAAATATGCTATTTAGGTGCGTGCAATAATACCCAACTCAAAGAAACAGCTTAGAGCCTCAGACAATCAATACGACCAGCACGTTTGCTAACTGCATGCAGAGATCAGCGTTAAGAAGCTGTTGTGGTTAAGCCCTGACCAGTCAGGGAGAGCCAAGAAAATGCATTCCTTGGCTGAACTGTGTTCCAGCAATGAGTAGGCGGCGACGGCCTTTGCAAAGTCATGAACGCTGTCCGTGCTCCAGCCCAGAAGTGCTTGCTGCCTCTGCTCCAGGTTATTTGATATTTTTTTCGATACTGCTGCCTCTGTCTCAGAGGCTGGGACTCATCTCCGCTGGCATGAGACGTCGGCAGCACAGATGTCTCCATCTGAGGTTTTCTCTGTGGTCGATAGGGAACCGTGGGCTTTCCAGCGTGGGGTTTTCCCGAGATGCTTTACACAGAGGTCTGCCTACACTGCACC